TAGTACCAAAATACCTCTAAAACTTGCACATTATTTACTATCTAATGCTACTAAGAATTTAATTAGGTTAGTATTTAAAATGTTTGTCTTTTCCAATTATTGAATGGTTTCCTCAAATAATGCCAACTAGTAAAAAACAAATAATTAATTAGATATATTTTTAATCTAAATAAACTCAGATTAATAACAAGAATTTATTTATGCCGACACATTCGGAACAATAGATATTTTCCAGGAATTTCCTATTTCTAAGGAGATTAAGTAAATTCTAATATATATCAATGGATATTTTCCATGAGTTTTCTATTTCTAAGGAGATTAAATAAATTCTAATATATATCATAACACAACATTCAAAATAACACTAATAAAATCTGAGTTTTTCCTTTGACCACATGTTAATAAATAAATTATTTTATTACATAATAATATACTAGCTATTACAAAATAAGAAATAATTTTTTAAAAATATATATAAAAAATACTTAAATTTAGTTTTCTTTACCTTTATTTTTAATTCACATACTGAAAAATATTAGACTATTTAAATATTTTTGTGACAAGTTAGCAATTAGAACATATTAAAATATCAAGACTTAAAATTCATTAGTATTTTTATATCTAATGTGAATAATAAAATTATATTCTAAATCTAAAATAACCCAAAAATATTAAATTTTAATTAATTCTCCATAATCATTAATTTTCTTCCAGTAGCATAGTGAAATCTTACAAATCTAAACACGACAAATAAAAATCAAAATTACAGAAATCAAATTGTAAGATTCACAATAAACAAAAAAAAATCAAACAACATTAAAAATCGAAGGACAAACAAAGTTAGTAGAAGAAAATGATTGTATAAAAACAAAAAAACAAAAATCTAATTTTTAATATAGAATGCAAAACAAATTTTATTAACATAGTTACAAAAATCCAAGGAAAAAAAACTAGAAAATTTCTACACGGTGGATCAACCAGTGGTTGAAAGACTTTTTATATAATTTTTTTTCCTAAAATCCAAACCAGATTTCCGGTTCGCTATCGGACTCGGTCGAATTTCAAAACACTAAACATATTACAACTACTATGTAATACGAATATACATCTAATACAAATAAAAATTTAAAAAATTAAAATAAATACCTGTGTGGTTGCGCGGGATCTAGTTCTATATATTAAAACATAAGTGTTAACCTTGATTCTTGTGTAATATTTTTTAAAATGGATCCTCACTAGAAATCAGTTATCTTTAATTTATTAATAATAATATGGTTTAATAATATTTCATTCCTAATATAACAATTAACTCCTAATAGTTCAAAATATACTATGTTGGTAACAAGGGTTAACATTCGCAAACTATATAATACATGTATAAAAATTAACATGTATTTCATTAAAGCTAATAATATAAAATATTTATAACTTTTTTAATCATGATATCTTTTCATTACTATATATATATATATATAATTCTAACAAATCTGTTGAAAAATATTTTATTAAATCTTAATTTTCAGGAAGTTTACGTAAGTATTTTAACTAATTTTATAATTAGCAATCAACTATTATTATGCATTAATATATATTCAATTATCATTTATAAAATGAAACATAAAAATTTTATCTTATTTTTATCTATTTTCTAATAATAATAATTCATGTTAAAATAAAATTATTATATTGAATTAGATATAATAAATTATATTAAATTGATAAAATTTATAATTTTATTTTCATAATATAAAATATTTATGCTAAAAGTATGATACAGTGACATAATGACTTAACATTCGCAAACTATATGATATATATACAAAAATTGACATATCTTAGACTTTTATACATACAAAGAATATATTTTAAATGAATAAACGTGAAAAAAATATTGCCAAAAGGAAATTCGACTTTGAAGGTTGGCAAGTCAGAATTGAATATAAATTTGATATAAAATAATTTTCAAATATGTCGTTTCATGCATATGTTAAAATTTTTAATAACTAAATCAAAATACAGTAACATAAATATATAATAAAAAGAGATAAATACATGTGATGATTTTAAATTATTGATTAATTACACCATGTAAACTATAAACTTATTATATTTGAAATAGGTATATTAATATTTAAATATATGGTAATATTAAAATTGTATACCACTAATAAATTGAAATAAATATATATGTTTATAAGACTGAAAAAGAAGATCCGCGTGGTTGCACGGATCAAAATTTAGTTCATCTTTAAACTAACGTATATGTATATAAGTAATGATCAATCGTTTCCTGGTGTTCCTTAACTAAAGATTATATTTTCTTGTCATATGGATTTACGGATATTGCTAATACACCTCAAAGTTATTTAAAATGATGTGATAATAGAAGTCCCATTGGTCCAATAGTTTGACTAAGAATTCATTAATGTTTCATTAAAAACTGATCGTGATTGTGGATTAATTTCATATAAATTTTAAGTTTTTTTAGTTCCATACAAAATTGTCATATATAATATATTAGGATAGACCCGCGTCTTGCGCAGAGTGAATTTAAAAAATAAAATATAAACATTTAGTTATGAGAAAAAAAATTAATATGTTAGTCGATCTGTAAACTAAATGTAATTTGAGATTGTATATATAATCATTTATTAATGGTGGAAAAATAAATTGTAAGTATCGTGGATCTTGCTTTATATGTTATTCATTCGCGATTTTGTGATATATGGTGAAATCATATAAATAAAATTGTTTTTTATTTTCTTTTCCTAATTTTTTATATAACATCTACGTAGGATAAATATTTTATCTACAAACTATATTGTTTATTTCATATTTTTCTACATATTGTGAAAGAATAAATAAAAAATATATAGATTGAATAACTGAGAACTCAATCGCTATTCCATATATAAATAATTTGGTGTGTGCATTTAAATCAAATGACTACTCTTATTTATTAAAAAACGATTTATGGTAAATAAATCAAAACAATCAATTTTATACATCTTATATTAGATACAATTAAATATAAAAGACATTAACAATATCTATAATATATTTTAATATGTATGTTTAGTAAATGAATTTCTCATTATATGGTTTTATGATTATCAATATATTTTTATAGCAAAATTTTGAACTATTAAAAATTGAATGAAAATTTTAAAACTAAAATATTAACTTCGCAATATTTTTTCAAAGAAAATATCAAAATAGAAGTATATATTTTTATATGGTATGTAATTTAAATTAAATTATATATATATGGATTAATATAAACATATTAAATAAGACTTATTACTCATGTATTTTATAATTATTTGTATCTTATTATAATAAAAAAATTAAACCATTATTCACAGAAAGTTTATTTGAGACTTTTAACATTTTAGTAATTTATACCTGTTTTAAAAAGTTCAAAATAAAATATATACAAAAATATATTTTTTTAATAAATAATGTAATTGTGTAGTTTATTTTAATAACATATATTTAAACAAAAATGGTAGAGGGTATACAAATTGTTAGGAAATCTTTATTATTGGAATTATTAATTGTCACATATATATATATATATATATATATATATATATATATATTAATCACATTAGGTAATTCATAGCTTTTATTTACGGAAATGATGAATAACAAATTTTTAAGATCAATAAGATATGCGACCGACATCTTACTAGTAAATATATATTTAAACTAGGATATATGTAAGGTGCTTTAGAATTGTGTTAAATAAAATTTAGAAGTTAAAGAGATATACCACATAGGACTGAAGTTATTTTTAATTAATACAAGCTTAAGGTTATAACTTTTTAAATGATCCTAATTAATATATAGGAGATATGCTATCACAAAGATGAAACTGAAAATAATACTAAAATCAGTGGTTTGTGAATACATGTATAATATAAAGAAACTATAGTATATGACAATATTATGCTTCTTCTTGGTGTCATTTGGTCGTTCCTAATTCGACTTTGCCTTTCGATCCCTGTTTCATGTTATTGAAGCTCAGCTTTTCAGTTTGTTTGTACAATTTACTTGAGGAGGAGTCAGTTATTTTAGTGACTTTCTATCAAAGGACCACAAGGTATTTGTTTGCTTAATTGCTTACTATGACAGTATCTTTGTGTGGACTTGCGTTATTTGGTTTAACATAGGGGACAAATGGTGCAACCATCCCAGATCTAAATTTGTTCCCCCCGATACTTGAATTCTTGATAGTTAAAGGACCTAATATCTTTATTATATATATAGAGTTTTTAGTAATAAAACTCATCAACTAAAGATGAATCGTAAAAAAACCTCAACTAAAAATTTAATAAAATAAACCATCAACTTTAGTTCTGTTAATGTATGTTTAGCTGTTAGTTGTTTTCTTTTGTTAGGGCTTTTTTTTTCTAGCACTGTCACCAGGATCATATCTTAATAGTGCTGATTTGTGTATTCCAAATATGTATCCACCCACCTCTGTATCTCTTTAATATTTAATGAAATTTCAGTTAAAGAAACATTCAGAGACCATGAGAAACGCAAATAGAAATATACATACGATCACAGTTTTCAAATAAACACTTTAAATAGTTTTTTTTTTCTTCTTAATCTGGCAATAAATAAGGCACAGTAGTGAAGAGATTTCTTTTGGTGATGGTCCACTCGCCACTCCGATAGTCCCAATGTTCCATTCACCTTAATTTCTCGATGAACACAAAAGATAAATATTAATGCTTTTTTGAGAAAAATATAACACTAATATTTTAGACAAATGTAGACAATACCCTGTCGGCCGACTCCATGCATGCCCTGTAAAAATAAAAATATTAGACGTAAACTTGGTCACCATTCCAAATCTAAAGCCGGGTACACTGGGCTTGATAGTTCTCCGATCCCTATAAAACGGTAATTTGTTGTGAGAGTTAAAACAACACTCTCAAACCAAACTTTACCTTTGTCATCTAACTTCAATCTCTCGACCAACCACAATAATGTCAAACCATTTTCAAGGTCCCGTAACCACTAACCCTAAACACGTTTTAACCAAAGAAGAACAAGCAGCCGACGAGAACATGGCGAGCTTGCAAGCTGAGAGTATAGCGAACACTGTGGCTTTCCCTATGGTTCTTATAGCCGCCTTGCAGCTCGGCGTCATTGACACCATCGTTGCTGCAGGCAACGGCGCGTGGCTTTCACCCTCCGAGATAACGTTCAGTCTTCCAACCAAACCAATGAACCCGGAGGCACCGGTTTTGCTGGACCGGATGCTGCGATTACTCGTCAGCCACTCGATGTTGAAGTGTCGAATAGTTGAAAGCAGAGAAAACGGTCGAACCGGAAAGATGGAAAGGGTATATGCAGCCGAACCGGTTTGCAAATATTTCTTGAAAGATAGTGAGGGTTCTGGTTCTCTCGCGTCTTTGCTCATCATGTTGCATGACAAAGTCATTATTAAGACTTGGTAAGGTCTTCAGTGATCTATCTTATACTTACTTGAAAGCGGTTATTAGCTTACTTATTAAACTGATTCACTTTTTTTTTTTATTTTCAGTTAAACCGATTCACATAAAAATGTTATATATAAACTTATAAACCTAAAGTAAATTAAAAACTGAAGTTTTTTTTTTTTTATTCTTTACTTTTGTAGGACAAAGCTCAAGGATGTGATACTGGAAGGAAGAGATGCGTTCAGCAATGCACACGGCATGAGAATATTTGAATACATTAATATGGACAAACGGTTCAGTGGGATATTTCACCAGGCAATGTCGGAATCTTCCACTATGGTCATGAAGAAGGTTCTAGAAGTTTATAGAGGGTTTGAAGGTGTTAAGACTCTTGTGGATGTAGGAGGAGCAAATGGCACCATATTAGGTTTAATCACGTCCAAGTATCCTCATATCAAGGGCGTTAATTTTGACCTAGCTCAGGTTTTAACCAATGCTCCATTTTATCCAGGTACAAAACTAAATAAATCTTATACTTAAAAGTTTTGAATTGGAGTGTTACTATTAGTAACTACCTCCTAAACTTGTAATGTTACTAACTATAGGCGTTGAGCATGTCTCTGGAGACATGTTTACAGAAGTTCCAAAGGGAGATGCTGTCTTTATGAAAGTAAGTTGACATATAAAGGTTTTTTAATTAAATTAAAAAAAAAAAAAAATAAATAAATAAATAAATTACACAAAATCTTACTACTATTTAACGTTTGAGATCTTCGAGGTTATTGAAGTCTGTCATTTCTGATATTAAATGGCTAAATTATTGATAGTGGATATTACATGATTGGGCGGACGAACATTGTATAAAGATTCTAAAGAATTGTTGGAAGAGTCTTCCAGAAAAAGGGAAAGTGATCATTGTAGAGAGGGTTACACCAACAGAACCAAAGGGTGGTGACCTTTTATCTGACACTGTGTTCGCCATGGACCTGCTGATGTTGACACAATGTTCGGGTGGTAAAGAGAGATCTCTTTCACAATTCGAAAACTTAGCATTCGAGTCGGGTTTCATTCGATGTGAAGTCATTTGTCCTGCGTATTCTTATTCTGTTATCGAGTTCCAGAAATAGATGTGGCATTTGGAAAATAAACAATGATTGGGTTGATAGTCTGAAATCAACAGTACGGGCTAGCTACAAATCTTATAATGAATAAATTGTGTGGGATTTTTTGTTTGTGAGTGAATTTTATTGCATGCAGTATTGTTTTATGGTATTGGTTTAGCGTCTTAATGCATGGCACTAAGTTTAAATGAATCTTGAAATCAAATCTCTCTTTTCCTCTGTCTTTGTTATATCAACCTATTTATCCGTGATCTTCCTCAGTTTTTCATACCAACAACAACAAGAACGTTGACAAACCATATACATACAGAGTCAGTTATGTGCACAACAGCGCCTTCACTCCACCTCTTATCACATCAAGGCCATTGACAGGGAAGTTCGAAACATAATCACAGCAAGAAGAAATAGGCGGAACTTCGGCTCTCTTATGTCAAATTGGATTCAGTGACTCACACTGTAAATCATCTACTGTGTTTTCCTTGCTTTTTATTCTTTTTTGCCAAGGGAACACACAAAAATAGGCTGTCTTGTATAACCAAACTTTCATATTAACCAAACTTTCATATTTATGATATTAACTAGTTACCCAAAAAAAAATACTAGAGATGATTTGAATTAGTTGAATTTATTGTTCGTATCATCAAACAAATTAAAATTTGTTTTTCTGATGAAAGAACTAGTGTGTTTGATGATAAATACTAATTTTTGTTAGTCAAATTTTTTTTTATAAATGCATATTACTACTCTACACACTGGTTTTGGGAAATTGTTTAATTTTAGTATTATTTTTTTTTTTTGAAAATATAATTGATTTGATTATAATTAATTTAAACTGTTACTATTGATATATCGCTTGATCTCTAGAGATGCTTTACATAAACATTGACTTCCAAAATTATGAAATTTTAATTAACTATTTACTAAATTGAGTATAACTGGTTTCCTTAATTAGAACACATTCAAGTAAAGAAGAATGTCAAATGGCGAACTTGCAAGCGAAGAGTATTGCAAAGCAGCAAATGCATTAGTCTTCCCAACGGTTCTTCAAGCCGCTTTGAAGCTTGCATTAATCGACGTTGTTGCTGCAGGAAAAACTGTATGGCTAGCCGTTGTGCGGTATTGATAAACCGGGAAGGTCGAGATTCCAGAGGGTATATGCGTATTCGATATATGCATCTCAGCAAGTGGTTCCTCAAACCAATGTATTTGAATAGTCGTTCACCAAGGTGATAGGGATGGGGACACACATCTACAAGATAGATGGAGAAACAAATTGAACATAACAATAACAAGCCAATTTCAGTCTGGCCTTACATTATTAAATCCTACAAATATTGTTGCTTCCAACCCTGTAAATCAGGGCCGGCACTGTTCTTAGCCGACCTGAAACTTGAAATTATCTCCTAATCCAGTTATACATAGGAAATATAAACTATATCTATATGTTCTTGATAAAAAAAAAAGGTTTTCTCTTCCAACTCGAGGTAAGGATATTTATGATATATAGTAGTACTCATTAATTTTCCCATACTCTTCCAACTTGAGGAAGCTGAAGATTTCCAATAATCAACTTGTACATACTCCCTCCGTTTCGATTTACTTGTCGTTGTAGAGTAAAATTTTTGTTTTAAAATAAATGTTGTTTTATAATTTCAAAGAAAAAATTATTAATTTTATCTGTTATTCTATTTTTCTATTGATTAAAAAATGGTTAGATGTATAAATAATTGTGTTTTTATCTCGAAAATATATAAAATTAAATATTTTTTAATTTGTATATAAAAACATAAAACAACAATTAAAATGAAACAGAGAGAGTAAATAACTGTTAGGGTGTGACTGAAAGTCACATGTAGGGTTAATATTCTCACTCAAAACATGTTACTATGGTTTCAGCTCATAAATTTACAAGTAGGATGGACAGTTTTTTTTATTCATTTACTAAAGGTAACGTGCCTCGCCCCCCCCCCCCTTTATGAAGTGGAAGTCAGTTATGCTAAGTTTTTATTTATAAATTATCTCAATTAAATTTTGTTAAATTTTTAATATCTAAAATTGTTCACTACCTAGTTTAATATTCCAACTAATTATTTTATCCATTCAAATACACAAATTTTTGTAACTCTATCCATTTTAATACCCAAACCTTGTTTGTTTTAATTAATATACAAATAAATTTCAAAGGAAAATTTTAAAAGTATTTAAAATCTAAGAAAAATTTTTTTTTTTTATTTTTACTTGAAGATTTAAGAAAGAAGCTGAATAAACTCGGGGGCAATGTTTACACTTTTAAAAAATTAATTTTAAAGGAAAAAAAATTATTTATTTTATTTCAGAAAACAAACTAAATTTAATATTTCAAACTTAAAAATATTAAAATTTTAAGATTATACACAATTTATTTAATTTTATTTCTCAAACACAAAATAAAATTAGATTTTTTTTTAAAGTTTATAGATTCTTAAATTTCATTTGAAATTTATTAGTATTTTAATAAAATAAAAACATGTGAGTATTAAAATGGACACAGTTGTATAAATTTTTGTATTAAAATGGGCAAAATAATTAGTTAAGGTATTAAACTAGATAACAGAAAAGTTTGGGTATTAAAAATCTTAACGAAATTTAGTTGACATATTTGTATAGAATTTTTCCTTTATTTTCTTTTATCATTTATGACTTTTAAAACTTTACTCTAATTTACTCTTTAACTTTTACTTTAAATTACTCTACTTTATTTACTCTCATTTATTCCTATGTTAGTTACTCACATTTAGAGTAAGATTGGTCACATAGTGGGGTAAAAAGATAGAAAAATAAAGTGGAAATGAAAGATATGAAAAATAATAAATCTTGAGTAAATTTTTTTATTTAGTGTTGAGAAAAAAATTACTTTTGTTGTACTATTTTCTCATTTTTAGAGTAAATGACCTGAAATGTTTTTTTTGTCTGATTGGTTGAAATTAGAGTAAATGAGATGAGATAAATTTTTACCTAATTTATTTTACTCTAATTATGCCATACAATTGCACCCTTAACACTATACATTTCTGAGTGTCTTTGTCAAAGCAGCTGCCAATAAACCATTTGAAATGACATGTAAATCATTGCAAGAAAATAATAAAAAATGTCGTTTTAAGTAAGGATAAGAAACTACATTAATGGTAGCTGAATCATTGCAAAAATACAAACAAACAAAAAAAGTGGACATATCCATAGCCGATCAACCTTTCACCATTATTGTTGTCATTTTATCTTATTGAGTTCCCGCTCTAAAATGGCAATAAATGTGACATTTTTTTTAAATACCAAGGAGTTTAGAACAATTTCATGTTGAGAATTCTCCATTAAAAATGTTTTGAGGGCTAAAGTTAGTAATTTTTCAGATCCAAAACCACAATATCTAATATTAGTTTCATTTCAGTGATCATTCGAATTGGAGACTTCTAACTCAATAGTCAGATTCCTTTCCGAAAAAATAAAGAGGAAAAAGTCAGATTCCTTTCCATTTTTTGGTTAAATGTGGTTGTCACTGACCTACTATTGTGTTCTTCGGTATAGAGTATAGACTTGACTAGAGATGTTGATACAAATAAGCAATTATCGGGTCGTAAAGAAAACTGTATGTTGCTTCCGTTTCGTTTCTGTTGTTATGATTTCACATGTCTTGCTTATTTTAACCAAAAAATGTCTTGCTTATTTTATTCTACGAATATGTTTTTTGGCTCCACAATTTCAAAACAACCATTAGTTTTGGAGTTCGGAACTTATAAGCTTAGGATTTTTTTTTTAAATGAAAGTAATTTATTGTACACAGCAAAGGAAAAGTTTATGAGTGTACCGTCTTAATATTGTCGGTTGGAAAGATAAGTCTCCTATTTTATGCTCCTTGGAACTCCGAATATGTCAAGACCAATAATAATAATCACTAGCATAATATATAGAGTGCTTCATGGTTATATATAGAGGACCACATGCGTAACGACTTTGTTCATAGTGGAATCTAATCACAAAGCTCTATGATTTTACGTTGCAAGACCTCAATCATCAACCACCACTCCTCCGCCCATACATTTTCGACTACGACAACTAAAGATATTTTCTTGGTTAATCCCTATGGTTTACAGATATACTAGTGTTCTTCTATTCGAAATCATAAAGTTTCATTCCATGCTCCCTCTGTAGGACCTTTAGTTTTCATATCATTTGAAATTTGATTTTTTTCGTTAAACCCAAAAGATGCCGTACCCCATACTTTCGACATGCCATTATGACTGTACCCGTTTTATAATTTTATTTTAATACACCGAAAAGAAAGAAATATACATGTTATTTACCTCCAGTTTCCACTATAAAATGGTACAAGGCATGGATGTTGAAACCAAGCCTCTCTTTTCCGTTACATACATTGTTGCCTACCTATCTTGTCCGTTTTCAACCATTATCAACTAATGGCAAACCAACTTCAAAAGCCCTTAAACCTTTCTCCTAAACCGGTTCTGACCAAAGAAGAACAACAGCAAGATTCTCAAGAAATGGTGGCCTTGCAAGCCGAGAGGATGGTGTACTCCTTGACATTCCCAATGGTCTTCAAAGCTGCCTTGGAGCTGGGAGTCATCGACACGATAGCTACCGTTGAGGACGGCGTGTGGCTCTCGCCTTGCGAGATAGCGTCTCGACTCCCTACTAAACCCACCAACCCTGAGGCTCCAATGATGCTGGACCGGATGATGCGGTTACTCGCTAGCCACTCGGTCTTGAAATGTCGTGTTGTTGAAACCGGAGAGAACGACCAAACCGGAAAGATAGAAAGGGTATACGCATCTGAACCGGTTTGCAAGTTTTTCTTGAAAGATAGTGACGGCTCGGGTTCTCTCAGATCTCTCTTCATGCTATGCCATGACCACGTTATTTTCAAATCTTTGTACGTACTTTAGATTATTAAGTAAGGAGTTCATTTTCTTCAAGTTAATTTACATAATTTCCTAACTAATATTTATCAACAGGTCACATATAAAGGATGTGATATTACAAGGCCAAGATGCATTTATTTCTGCCTATGGCATGAAAGTCTTCGAGTACATTGCTTCTGATGAACAATTCGCTGAGATGTTTAGCCCGGCGATGTCGGAATCGTCAACCATGGTTATGAATAAGGTTCTAGAAAAATACAAAGGATTCGAAGATGTTAAGACTTTGGTGGACGTAGGAGGAGGAGTTGGAACTGTGCTAGGTTTAATCACTTCCAAGTATCCTCATATCAAGGGCATCAATTTCGACTTACCATCGGTTTTAGTCAATGCTACTCCTTATCCCGGTAAACAAATTAAATAACAAACTTGATATATTGAAATGTTAATAATAATCTCTTGAGATCATTATATCTTGACAAAATCTGTTATATAGGAGTGCAACACGTGGCCGGAGACATGTTGGTAGAAATTCCAAAGGGAGATGCTATTTTCATGAAAGTAAGTATACATGTGTATGAACTATCATGGTATAAAACATTTTTCTAACAAAAATAAATTAATGACAGTGGATGCTGCATGCTTGGAACGATGAGAACTGTGTTAAAATTCTCAAAAACTGTTACACAAGTCTTCCAGAAAAAGGAAAAGTGATAGTCGTGGACGTGGTTATGCCAACAGAACCAAAGTGTTACGACTTTGATTCTAACATGGACCTCACTATGGACATGTTTATACTATCACAACGTTCAGGTGGTAGAGAAAGGACTCTTCCACAATTGGAGGCTTTAGGTTGTGCTGCAGGCTTTAGTCGTTGCGAGTTCATTTGCCGCGCCTATTCTTTCTCTCTTATTGAGTTCCACAAATAGATTTGAAGTCTGCAAAAATATAAATCACCACTAGTCCCATGAATACTCTATCTATCAGTAAAGATCCTATATGTTATGATGTTTTATCTCCCAAAAATAAAAGCAGACAACTCCGTTATGTGTAATATATATATATGTAAAAATAAGTATGGGTGTTCAGTTTTTGGTTTGGTTTAGTTTTGCACTTTCAATTCATTTGGATCTAGAGACAAAAAGAAAATCGTCAGTAGTTACAAAATTAAGTTCAGTTTCGATTCAGAAACTTGAATGTTTGTGTTCAGACAACAATTTGCTAACAACCTAATAATACCCACGAAAACTAAAGAAAGATTGATTTGTGTTTTGTTGCTTTGTTCCAAGTCTGAAAACTTGTACATCTCTTAAACGGAAGCCTAAACTATTTTAAATAATATACAACCTTAATTATAATTAATAATTATGATCATTGACTAAAACATTTCAAGTGTTTTAACTGCTACCTTCATTACAGTCAATCAACGATTATCTTGTCATACTAATTCATTCAAAGACTTCATTATTACATATTCAATACTTCCATCTCCGACAGATTTTGATTACAAGTTTTGAAGATTAAACAACCAGCAACTGACACTGAAACACAAGCTTAACAACAATGTTAAAACGAGTCTTCTTTCAAATGCTAGACTTGAGATCCTCTGAATGAACCAGAGGCTTCCACGTTGGGTTTCTAGGAAGAAACGTATCCTACAAAACCACACACAAATTAAACTTTTTCAAGATACTCCATGAACTCCCGAGATCTAAACTTAGAAACTGAGAAATCTTACGGAAACGTATGAGCAGGAAGGGATGATGGAGAGTGAGTGAGAGGAAGCGTGTTCGAAGGCGGCGATGCAGAGGAGAGAAGCTAAACCTAACCCTCGTTTTGAGGAAGGAACGTAGGTGTGGACCAGATCCATTACTTTTCCGTTGTTTCTAATCTTGTAATCGATGAACGCTTCGTGATCCTCCGTCTCGAACCGGTGTTTCCCCTCGTTCCATACTATCTTCGGTGGCTCTGTCGCCGTAGTCTTCGCCTCCGATGTCGCAGCCATCGTTGTGTTCGCTGAATGTGAAAAACGTAAATCGAAGGAAAGTTTCTTAGTCCGGATCCTTCCCGTATCTTGTGTTTGGGCCTTGTAATGGGTTTAGTATGGACCGTCAATAGGCCTGTCAGATAGGCCTCTTAACGGTGTTGGACATAGTTATGATTTGAGAAATTGCACTCTCTATACACACAAAACTCCAAAATTAAAAATATATCATATTTTTCTCTATCTCTCTCCCCTCCATTTACCACTTTTTCCCCCTAATATGAAGGTATCTCTTTCTTTTATGGTATTTGGAGATATATCATAGTTCTCTCTATCTCTCTCCTCCTTACCACTTTTTCCCCCCTAATGTAAAGGTATCTCTCTCCTTTTATGGTATTGAACCAATTCACCCTTATGATTTTCCATTTTAACTGTATTTTACAGTGTTTCAAAAAAAAAAACTGTGTTCACAGATTTTTTGTTGATATATTTTTTTATTTTTACTTTTTTGGGTAAAAAATAGTGAATTCAATTCTTTATTAGAAATTCAACCATTGCAAATACTCTCTCAACAAGAACCGAACCTAAGTGACAGACTTTTCCAGTCTTTTCAAACACTAAAACAAATGAAATTTTGATTAATTATTTATTCGATTAATAATATTTACTATTTTTTTATCAATAGTAGTTCAATAAATTCAGTTATACTTTTTGATGTTTAAAATTACCATTTTTGGGTTAAGAAATGGTGAAATCAATTTCTACCAAAATCCAACCATTGTAAATACTCCGTCCTATTGAGAACTGACCCTTAGTGACGGAATGTCTACTGAACATTTAGTATCACTAAACCAAGAGTTTTTCAGTTTTTTCACACACTAAAACAAATGAAAGTTTGATTAGTTATTTATGTGATTACCAATATTTAATAATTTTAGATTAATGGTAATTTAACAAATTCAGTTATATTTTGTGATGTTTAAAATTATCATTTTCGGGTAAAAAAAATGAATTCAATCTTTACCGGAACCCAACTATTGTAAATACTTCATCCCAACAAGAATTGAACCTTAGTGACGGAGTGTCTACTGAACATTTGATTACCACTAGAACAATAGCTCGTTGGTAATTTATAGCAACTTAAGATAAAATATTTTGTTTTGTTGATTTTTTTTTATAAAAACTATATGAATGATATTTAATATGTTTCAAATTAATAGAATTTCCCGTTTTTCACACACTAAAACAAACAAAAATTTGATTAATAACAAATGGTGAATTCAATTTTTACTGGAAATCTAACAATTGTAAATATTCTCTCTCAATGAATACTGAATTTTGGTGACAAAGTGTCTATTGAACAATTTATTACCACTAGATCAATAGTTCGTTGGTACTTGGTAGTTAATAGCAATTTAAGATGAAATATCTTTTTTTGTTAATTTTTTTTTTATAAAAAACTATATGAATGATACTTTCATGTCTCAAATGAATAGCCTTTTCCAATTTTTCACACGCTAAAAAAATGAAAGTTTGATTAATTATTTATGCGTTTAACAATATCCAATAACTTTAGATCTATAATAGTTCAACAAATTCAGTTCTAAAATATTTTTAAATATCTCTTTTTAAAACAAGTAGTAATACTTTGGTGGTAGTATTATTTTGTCTCTATCAAAGGAAAATAACAAATCTTATATATTAAAACAGAAGTCATGACTTGATTTCATATGTGATTTTTTAAAAAATGGACTATTACTAGAAAGTTATGTTACATTAACTCTCTAATAATCTTATCATTATTATATCTTATGAAAAATCATATCTATAATAACAAAAATACGCTTAACAATTTGGTTTTGGTAAATTACCCAACACCTTCCTACTTAGTCACGCAAAATATGTCAATAGATATAAGTTTAGGAATCTTCTATTATTTATAANAAAATGGACTATTACTAGAAAGTTATGTTACATTAACTCTCTAATAATCTTATCATTATTATATCTTATGAAAAATCATATCTATAATAACAAAAATACGCTTAACAATTTGGTTTTGGTAAATTACCCAACACCTTCCTACTTAGTCACGCAAAATATGTCAATAGATATAAGTTTAGGAATCTTCTATTATTTATAAGGAAATATGTCAATAATAATTAAATCCATCCACAATATATTAACAAAAATCACAGATTCGTAATATGGAATATTTATATACCCTAACAAAATTTACACGCTATATATACTAGATAAATTTATTTTGATGTAAATTTTAAAAATTATATATTTTTTAAAAATGAAATTGTTTAAAAAATTATTTTTTTAATAAAATTCTTTATAATATTAATTTATGAAGCTATAAGTTTAGTTTTTAGTAAAAATTTCTTCGAAATTTATATTATCTTTGTAAATTAAAGTATACTTATATTTAATCAAGCTTTATTTATATTACTTTATCTAAAAATGAAATACCAATCTTAACAAACAATAAAATATAGAAGAAGAAATAAACACATATTTGAAAAACATGTATAATATAAAAGATTTGAAACAATCTATTTGATTAAAACACATATTATATAATATTATTATGTTTGAAAAACATTTACTATACATATCGTAAATATGTGATTACTATAATATATACCAATTTATAAGTGAAAACAAAATGTTTATATAACTAACTATATACGAAAACAAACACCCGCACGGTTGTGCGGGTGAAAATCTAGTTTCCAATTAATGCTTTTTTTTGTCGTGGAACGAGAAACATTAATGCTTTGAAAAGGCCAAGAAATAATGAAGAAAACATACAAAAAAAATTCATGAAAAAAGGTCCTACCGGGAGTCGAACCCAGGTCGCTGGATTCAAAGTCCAGAGTGCTAACCACTACACCATAGAACCTTAGATGCCTGAATAGTCATTACTAAAATCTATAGAATGTTACAAGAGTAGTGAATCAGCACATAACAGTCTGAGGATTTGAAGAGAGCTACACAAATTTGATGAACAACCCAATCATTAATTCCCAAAGAACTGATGCTGCCTTATCATAGCAAATGTGCATTTGTTTGTTCCACAGCAAAGTAGAAGTAGATAGAAACGAAACAGACATGTTTCATGGTTTGATGAATAAATAGTACATGGGATTAAGAGCTGACGCTGACAAATCTGTGATCACTTTTTTTGTTCTCTGTCATGAAATCTGTGATCACTCTGTTTATTTACTTTTAAAGTAATTGGTTATACGTAACTCCTACTGTTCTGTTTATTCATGTATTCTGAATTGTTAGTAGCTGAAAAGATATCCTTATTTTCACTCCAAACCACTAATAATAAGCTCTCTTGTAATGTCGTTTGTCTCGAGACAACGAAACAAAACTAGTGTTAAGCAAAACAGAAGATACTATAGTTTCACTGTTTCATTGGCTTCATGACAGACTCGGCCAGAAATTGCCATAGTGTGATAAAAGGCTCATGAAGTTGTACAAACTTTCAAGTTCATAGCATAGAGATTGTGGGACTCCCATGTAATATTTTGTGTCAATGACTCTCTTTTTTTTTATCACCAGCAAACCAGCTAAAGAGTAAGACAAACAAGTTGTGTTTTAGAGAAGAAAAAAAGGTAGTAGAAGAAGAATTAGGAAGCATATAACTTGGTGAGATCTTCAGAGAACTCTTTCTTAATTACATCTCTTTTAAGCTTTAGAGCTGCTGTCACCAACCCTGACTCTGGCGTCCATGGAGCCGCCAACAACTTGATCTTTGCTGGTATCTCAAACTTCTCCAACCTCGATTGTTTAGCCGCCTAACAAAAGAACACACATCACAACAGATTAGGAAGGAACTGATTGAAGACTAGTAATACATTTTCAGGATGAACAAACATACCTTGACAATAGACGCATACACTTCTTTCACGGCTTGTTCTTTAGCACAGAGCTCTTCAAAGTTGGTGAACTCTATCCCTTGCTTTGACGCCCAACCTTCAAGTGTCTGTTGGGCAGCGACTACAAGTGCCACACAGTAACTGTAAAACGGATCAGCATGAACCATTGTATTTTCAACGTAAGGGCTTATACTGAGAGCAGCTTCCACCTGCAAACATTAGAAACACAAAGTTTATATTAAATACGATACTCTTATCTTGAATATTGAGTGAAGATTCGGTTTGAGAGAAGACTATACTTTGCCCAAGGAGACATATTCCCCGTGCTGAAGCTTAACAATATCCTTCTTTCTGTCTATAATCTCAAGGCAACCATCAGGGTGAAACTGTCCTATGTCTCCTGTGTAGAACCACCTCATCCCCTTCTCATCAACCTTTGAAACATTAAAGTGTTATAAAACAGTTAAGAGGACTAAACCAACCAATCTTAAAACATAGATGTTGAGTTACTACCTTGTAAACTTCTTTAGTCTTCTCTTCATTCTTGAAATACCCAAGTGTAATATTTGAGCCACCAATTACAATCTCACCACGGGGCATTGGCTGATCACTGGTTAAGTACCCGCCTTCCGGCCAGTCTATTAGCTGAAACAAGATATAAAAGCATATATGATCATAAGATAGCAAACGAGTCAGATTAAGTTTTGAACCAAAGCTGGTGGAGAAATCAGGTGAAGAGGCTACCTTAACAAAGGAGCAAGGAAGTGGAGCACCCACACGGCCAACAGATGTGTCATCAAACTCCGAGAAGGTTCCACCAGCACAAGTCTCTGTAAGTCCATATCCCTGACCAATTGGGGCCCTGAAGAATATCAGAATGTTAGATCATCATAGAAATGGTTAAAGATTGGAGACTAGCGAGTCTCAAGGAGATGATTCGAGGATGCTTTTACCCAACGCATATGTTAATGAATCTCTGAGTGTCACCAGAGAGAGGGGCTCCACCAGAGAGTAAGTAACGGATTCGACCTCCCAAGACTGCACGGATTTTACCAAACACAAGCAAATCCCATAGGAGCTTCTCCAGTCCCCAGGCTCCAAACCAACTTCCATTGATTGCAGACAATCTCCGAGCATATGCAAAGTCAAACAGTTTCTTTGCCACTCCTCCCTTTGCATCAACCTGGTGGTTAGAAAA